TCAATTCAATGCCACAAAAACCCAGTCATCGGTTTTCTCTAAAATGATAAATGTTTCCGAACCGGATGTGAAAATGCCAGAACAGACCATTCCGCTTTCTGCTTCAAAACGTTTTTGGGGGTCAAAATGGACACCAATATGTCTTGGCACAATCATGTCGCTAAAATTGTGAAGGCTGCTTCTCAAAAGCTTGGAACTCTGTTCCCAATCAGATAACTGTACACACCTCAGCAACTTTTGATGCTTTATGAAGCTCAAATCAGACCTTCTTTGGAGTAATATTCTCAGGGAGCTCCGTCCCCAAACATACACTGAAGCTGCTGGATTCTATCCAGAAAAAAACTATCTGCCTACTTGGAAATGGGAACATTACTTGCAACCTTGCAGTATTTTGAAATAATAATATATAAATTTATCAATTTCAGGCAGTTCAAAGAAAATGTGGATATCAGCTTTTTTCTCCTTTTCAAAACAAAGGAAACTGAAGTACAATATATGAAGGTGCCCGATCCACTTTTCAAGTATTATTCACTAGGTTCCTTCGTGGTCATTTTATGTATCCATCTTCAAATTTTTTTACAGGGAAGGTGAGTTCTTAGTTAGAAACTATGAATTGTGCAAAAATCTCTTCCATCATAAAAGTAGTACTGAGTATGAGATGAAGTATAAGACAAGTTAATCTAACCAACATTCAGGTTTGATTTCATATGTAGATGAATATGTCCCCGTGTAGTGGAAGATATACATATGAATGGAATAGTTATAATTTCATTTTGATTATTAATTTTATTACGTTCTCGTCAATGTTTGTTTTTGAAATCGTAAAATGTTATTCCAAATCTACTATCCCATTCAAATGTTTCACTAGATATTGAGTGCTTCACTACACCACAGTTTATATGAACGTGTGTCGTAACTTTATTTATTTATTTATTACCCAAAGAGGCTATTTCAGCCTAATCACTTGGATAAATGAAGTGAATCACAAATATTTACATAAAAATATTGTCTATATTATATTTACTACCTATTAGTCAATGTGCAAAATTGTAAAAGTTGTGAAAAATCAGTCTCAAATACTTGTATTCAATATGCAGTCTAAAACATTTTTACGATAAAGTGCTGGGGGTGAGGTCCAGTCTAAATCAATCAATGTGTTGAAATTAGCTAATTTGAGAATGTAAACCAGTGGTGCCCTTGCTGGATTCCCTATTCTTGATATATTGAACATGAGGATAGAACATGTAGGACGACTTGCTTCGTTATCGAGTAACCGGATGTCAGAATTATGTTCAAAATATACTTAGTGACAAAGGAAGGTGAACACCTATTTATATTGAAAATATCTCAATGATGTTTTGCACGTGTATTTATGTTGAGGCCAGTAAAAAGCCAGTACAATTTCAGCCGTATTAAAAGCTATTCTGACCAGTTTTTCAACTGTTTTGTCTTGTGTGAGCATTAATAATTTCTTCAATTTTTATTCTTATTTGTGATTCAACTGTTGAATATCTTGTGAAGTGTTTCGTATTGCTAACACTGTGCCTCGAGTGCCAAGACTTCGTCGTATTCCTCAATTTATTGATTTTGGGAGAGGACGAATTATTGGTTTACGTGAGGCAGGTTTTTCAGTTAGACGAATTTCAAGAAGAACCAATAGATTTGAATTGAAGGGGTTATATTTTTAGGAGTGATTCATTTTTGGAAAAGAAAGTTTTTGGCTTTCTACTACTCCATCTTGATACAAAAAACAATGATGAGTTTTGCATGATCTACACATCCATGTATAGAGTTACTCATTTTGAAATTGATTACTTCCTTCCTTTCCTTGGAAGATTCCGTCATCCTTGTTATTTGTATCAAGAAGGAGTAGTAGAAAGCCAAAAATTTTTTTTCCCAAACACCAATCGATCTTTGCTTACTGTTATAAGATGTTACCAGGCATAGACCCAAGAAGAGCAAGAACATAGAGCTAGAGGCACCGGTCGTCGCAGGGGAACAATAGCGCTTGAGAATCGCCGATTAAGACTTTTGGCTCTTAGGTTTATTTTTACTAGGGCAATTGCCCTACAAAATGATCAAAATATGTGTTCCTTACTCAACCCCAGTTCTAACATATTTAGTCAACAAATGCCTTGAAACCAGTATCTTCCCGGAACTATGAAAACGATCTATTATTTTTCCTATAAACAAAATTTCTAAATCCTTGACACCAAATGATTTGAGGCCCATAAATATAGTACCGGCAATATCAAGAATTATAGAAAAGGCAGCCTATAGTAAGATATACTCCTATGTCTCTGATAATAATATCCTGCCTGAACACCAATCTGATTTTCGGAAACATCACAGTACATCTAGTGCTCTGTTGAAAATGACCGACGATATTTTTTCAGCCACCGATAATGAAAAGGTCACTCTTTTCTTGTCTCGCGATTACAGTAAGGCTTTCGACACCATGAATCACGATCTGATGTGCCCTAAACTTGTTTTTTTTGGTTTCAGTATGGAGGCATGTGACTTTATTAGTTCATTTTTTTCAAATAGAAAGCAACGTGTTGCTTATTGATGATACAACGTATTGCGGACTAATGATACACTCGTATCATCAGTCAGCCTGATGATACGAGTGTATGTCATGGAGCCCCGCAAGGTCCAATTCTCGCCCCGCTACTCTTTATTATCTACACATCTGACTTCTACAAGGTTCTTAAGTTATTCAACATTCATACATATGCAGACGACACTAACTTTTACTACTTCGATAAAGTAAATCAGCTTATTGATCACGAAACAACGCTCATTAATGATATAAAAAATCTTGTTTAGATTTCGCAACAAGACTGTCTAAACCTTACTCCTGGTAAATCATCTTCAATAATTTTTGGAAAAGCCAAAGATCGGGAAAGGACCATGGATAATATCGATTTGTATATTGATGGACATTCTGTGGAATTGACTGACGAAATGAAATGTTTAGGACTTGATATAGACTACAACATCAGATTTGTTCATCAAGTCAATACTCTTATTCAAAGGTCGTACGGTACTCTGAAACATCTGTATTCAAACATACACTATCTTAATAGGTCTCTCAAAATTACCCTTTCAGACGTACTGATTCTATCTATGTTTAATTATTGCGATGTCGTCTATGGCCCTTGTATCGATTCCATAACTTCTGCAAGAATTCAGAAAGNAACCTCCAAGAAAATCATGAATAGTTTCCACATCAGGCTCTCTCTGTTTTCTATGATTTACTTCCTCATTTTCATGCCACTTCTTTTTGAAATGGTGAGACATTATGCATTACATTGATTCATAGAATCAAATCATCAATTATGTCGATAACGTTTTATATTCAGTTGATAATTTTTCTAATTCACTGACATTCGAGACAAATAAGTATATGGGTTGAAAAGTTCGTAGGCTATCAGACAGATGGCGATAGTAGTATTGATTCCATATGATTTCTAATAAACTCTAATCTGTAAAGGACAAGTGAACAACTTTCATAGCTATCAGGCTATCAGTTGGTGAGATAAAATATTTTGAGAGAAGCAAATTTTGATAGTTTGAAGAAAATAGATGAAAAGGAGATTCGTGTGTTGATAAAGCATTGCTTTTTTGGCGAAAAATAATACTGCTGAAGACAAGGCGTGATAAATACAGTGCTATCCCCAAAGTATGCACCATATGGGAAACTTATTTATCAAGGGTTTTTTGACAAAAAGTAATACTTAATGAAAGTTTGTGCATCCCCTAAAACTAAACATGCAGCAATAAAATACAGTAAAAAAGACGTAATATACGAGGAGCCTTCAAATATTTGATTTTGAGACGAGAATGAAGTACTTATTTTGAAAAATCTCGAGAAATGTTATTTAGAAAAGTTGTTCAGTATTAAAAAATACATCTAGATTTGAAGTCATGGCCATCAAAGTAGATATTACAAATTACATAACTATGGTGTTAACCAAGGACAATAATTTTCAAGGTTTTTGGTGCAAAGTTATTTTTATTTTTTGTTTACCCCCAAAAGTACTCAAAATTATATAGTATTGTAACAAGAACTCAATATTCGATAATATCAAATCACAAAACATCAAAATAAAATAGGTATTTTGGAACAAAGTCATTGATTTCCTGGAGATTATTTTGAAGAATTATTTTGGACAAGAAAATCTCCAGAAAATCAATGAGTCTGTTCCGAAATACCTATTTCATTTTGATGTTTTGTGATTTGATATTATTGAGTATTAAGTACTTGTTACAATACTGTACAATTTTGAGNGTTACTTCTTTGCATGATCTACACATTCATATATAGAGTTACTTCCTTTCTTTGGAAGACTCCCTCATCCTTCTTAAGCGTATTGGTTTAGATGAGTCATTTCATATAATGTGTTTAGGTTCCCAAAGGATAAAATGATGAGAAAAAAAATTGGTGAAAATATTGAAAAGAAAGAAATACAATCCTACTACTCTTCCAAAACTTTATAGAAATCATTCAAAAAGTGACTACAAATGAAAGGGCAATAGGGCCGTGACGTAACTGCCCTACTACATTTGATTTTTAATAATTAATTACGGAAAAACTACGGTACTTAGAGAGCTGAAACAAAGTGCACTGGTTTTCAATTTGAAATTTCTATCAAGTGAACTATAGACCAAAAATCATGAAACAAGCCCTTTGACAATCCGCTTTCAATAATGGAGAAAATATTAATTTTTGCCAAGACGCCTCATCTCCCCTTTAATATTTGAAAATTTACTCAGTTTATTCAAGGAATGCTTTGCTATAGGTTATGGATCTGTCCTGAACACTGATGGAGGGGTGGAAATGGATGCAAGTATAATGGTAGGAGATACTTTGAGTGCCGGAGCCGTTACAGTTGTTAAAGATCCTCATAGTATCCCATAGGTGATACTAGTATCCCATAAGGTGATACTATTTGTTGGAAAATAGTTTGATAAATATAAATGAGGTAAAATGAACACCGAGCATGAAGCTCGCAGTGGACACCCCAAAGAGTCTGTTAGCGATAAAAACATAAGAAAAAGTCCACAAAGTGAGGTTAACCAAGAGATTTGAAGCACTAGAAGTATCAAAAGAAAGTGTTGAACATGTACATAAATATTTGGGTATGCGAAAGCTATTTCCGAATGGGTGCTACGCGAGCTCATAATCAACGACTTATTGGAAAAAAACAAGAATCCAATATATTGCTTCGCTGACGACAGCAGACTTGCAACAACTGTGGCTGCTCATCGTTTTGAGATTCAACCCAGTACACTGCGAACTTCATTGTTTGAGAGCTCTTTCATTTGGAGAACGGCGTTTATGTAGAATAAACTTCCTGAGAATGTTTTTCCAAATGGATTCAATCTCCAGCGATTCAAATCCAGTGTGAATCACTGCTTTCATACAGACACCGCTCTAAGAGCGCCTTAAGAATTTTGCTGTAGTGCTTGTGTGTTGTCCTTGAAGAAATTGACCAAAAACACCAACACCACCAACAATTGATGATTCTGAGCAGTGTTTGAAGCTCTTCCACCATAAAAAACCCGAATTTATGCGTTGATT